TTGCCCTTTCCACCGTCAACTCCTCTGAGACAGTTTTGTTTGGTGGCTCCTCAGATTGAAGAAGTCCTTTGGTTGAAGGGTGAAACTTCTCAGCAAAAAAAGAAACCGTCCAGATGACCTGACTGAACATTGTTGGATTTTATAACTGGATTATTGAGCATGAACTTTGGTGTCAATGGCAAAAATGTTTTGACAGTCAGTTTGTTTGCAAAATATGTTGTGAACGAGCAAACGGATCTTAATGAAACTTCAAGAACAAAATTAACATTTGGAGGAACCTCAAGTTAATGTTAACTTGTTAACTCAACCCAAAAATGATTTTATAAATAAATTTTACATGTGTTGAGTTAAATTTGTGTGTGGTGCTAACTGACAGGCTTCCACATATTATATTCTGAGGACTAATACATTTCACAGGATCTCACAATATCACACAAGGTCATTTATGGTCATTTTATAACCAATACATTGTTTGTTTTTCTTAGTATAAGATGATTTTATTTTGAATCTCTGGCCTTTAATTCTTTATGCTATTTTGAGAAAACACTGAGAAACTCACTACCTGTTGTGTTCTGTCTTATTTACAGTGATGAAAAGGAAGTTTGAGTTCAACCTTTCCTTCCAACAAGGATATGGTGTCTACAAGTTATCACACGCCACCAAGTCTTACAGCAGCTCCCCCGTGGAGAAACCCAATTATCACAGCCTTTTCAACTGTGACTTCTCAAATCCCCGCCTTGACGCGCTGGAAAGTGGCGGCCTCTCCAGGCTTTGTCCCAACTTTGATTTCAGCACCTCGCCCCCAGTGGACAGCTCCTCTCAGTCGGGCCTCCTCTCAGAGGCCAGGGGAGGGGAAGCACAGGCTGACTGTCCTCCACTGCCTCACGAGAACCCCAAGGATGGTGAGGAGTTCCACCACGTCACCACACTGCCTTCTCACCGCCAGGAAAAGGAATTCAACCTGAACGACTCCTCGTCTGTGTTTGAAGGGCCAGAGAGGAGGCTGTCGCATGAGGAGTGTCGGAAAATTGAGCTGACGGACTGGGAGTGGTGCAGGAGTAAATCAGAGAGAACACCCAGACAGGTACAGAACCGTCTAAAGTAGCTCCTTCTACTAATGTCATGTTGAAGCGTTGCATGGAGCCATTTGTACGTGTCATTGAGTGCTTTATGGGTGTATTAATGAATATTTCCACGCATGTGTCTAATGTTTCCCTAAAGATATTATGGTGAGGTGATCACTTATGTGTGAACATAGTTTCAAGACTATTAAATGATTTCATTACATTCTGCTTAAAAATGAATTAAACCAGAGAAACCACGTTCTCTGTGACAGTGTCGAGTGCTGAATGACTTGGGTGGTGCTAGATGAAGAAGCTGAAAGTCAGTTGGTAAAGTTTAATTGAGAACTTTAGCTAAGAGCTAAAAACAAAACAAACTGCAGAATACTAACTAAAGGTTAAAAAAAAAACACTAGCTAAAAGTAGCAATAGGCTAGCTAAAAACAAAAGGAATCGGAATACTAGCAAAAGGCTTAATGTAGCAAAACAATGATTAAATGTTGCAAAGTACAAGCTAAAAGCTTAGAAGTGACAAAAGATTGGTTAAATGTAGCCAAATGGCGGCTACAATCTAAAAAAACAAACAAATGCTAACTACTCTTAGCTAGAAGCTAAGAGAAACAAGAGCATAGCTAAAACCTAAATGTAGCAAATTGGTAGCTGAAAGTAGCAAAATACTTGCTAAAGGCTAGCTGTAGCTAAAGGCTGGCTGAAAGCTAAAAGTATTAAAAGTCTAACTAAAACACTAAGTGTAGTAGGCCGATAATTAAAAATCTAAATGTGCAAAAAGGCTGGCTAAAAGCTACAAGAAGCAGAAAGGTAACAAATAACTAAAAGTAGCATATAGAGACAAAACAGAGCAGGTATGCTGAGGCAGATTTTTGACTTTTTTTTTATGCTATAAATACACGTACCTCTATTTATTTTAATGGGGAAATATTTGTAAATGTTGTAAAGTTTAATTTAAAGAAAATGTTGAAAGTTACAAAAAACAAAAGTCACACATCTCCTAAATTAATTGAACATTTTTATACAGGATTGGCTCAAAATAACACACAAAGCATGGAAAATAAGAAAACAAAAATAGCACCAAAAAAAAAAAAAAAATGGAAAAAATATTTTAAATGCTGAATCAGTATTCGCACGAGAATGTACATATGTTTTCACAAGACTTAAGGTTTGAAGCCTAAATAACCGCCGTACAAATATGTATTCAAGCTGTGACTTTCTGTTTTTTGCTTGGATTCACTTTAGCTCTTCTTCAGCTCTTTGATTCAGCCTTTTTAATATTTAAATTTAAATGAAAGACTGGATATGCCTGAGATTTAGATAACAAGGCTACCTTCTTTGCTCTCTTCTGCTCTGTTTTTTTCCTGCACGTCTTTGCATATCTGAAGCCTCGGCTCATTCTAAGTAATGGAGCAATTGATCAAAACGCTATCAGACGTCTCTCAGAGCTAAAAACTGCATTCATTACCCATCTAAAACTCCAAAATCTGACTTTCGCACCAGGCTCAGCTCGAATCATTGATTGAGTCTGCCGAGTTTCTTCAGGAGGGAGGAAGAATAACAGCAGATTTTTATAGATTCAGTGTTTTTTATTTTTATAAAAATTATAGCTCCTGTACTATTTTTTATAACAGAACATAAAACAAAATATATCAACAGATTCATTTTTGATTCAAATACAGGGAAGAACAGCTTGTCTGTTCAGTATGTTCTGCATTATGCACCGTTGTCTGTCTGGCAGCAGCCGAAGTTGTGCTCAGTCAATACTTAACTCTATTCAGTGGTAAAAAAAATAAATAAATAAAATAATAAAAAGCCAAAGAACACAAACAGTGAAGCTGAAGCAGGTTGCTGCAGGCGTTTGGAGAACCCTAATAAATTCTCAATCTCCTTTTGTCTTTGTTTTTGGTAGTGTTTGCTCTCGTAGGAACTGTCGACTGTCTGTCTTTTAGCAAAACATTTCATGACACACTGCATGGATTTTAATCAAACTTTCAGGAAATACTCACTGGATATACGTCTATAACTGATAACCTTTTGAAGCTAACAGTTCTAGATGCTTGTCACAGCCAGGTGACCTCCGAATACACACAAATCGCTATAATTTAGTCAGTTTATGAGATATTGATCTTAATTTTTGTGTGATTGTAGCCAAGAGTTATTACAACACATACTAGAAATCTTACTGTATGCGCAAGATCTCTGGTCAAAACTTTGATTGAAGTTTTAGAGTTAACTCTGTTTGTCTGTTACCAAAATATTTCATGAACTGCTTGATAGATTTTAATGAAACTTTCAGAATAAAATCATTGGATGTACAGCTGCAACTGTTTAACTTTTGGAGTCAAACCACACTCTGACGGATGATACAGCTCATCAACATTAATCAACACATGGAAAGCTATAACCCAACCAATTGTATAAATACCAAGCTAAATTTTAATGTGGTGAGAGTGATTCATGAAACATACCCTGATCATGATATTTCACAACATGGAATTGAGTATAATGCTATTTTTAAGGTTTTGACCAAAACGGCTACAGCTTGTGAAATGGTCTTAAAACTTTGCGAACAGTAGCAAGCCTTGTATCAGGTTTGGGTTAAATAACACGATGAGGCTGATTTTGGACTCACAATGTGGTAAAACAAACTTGCAGACAAAAAATCGTCAACATCTCTTTGTCTCATCTTTTTCTTCTTGGTTCCACGAGCTTGAAATGTTTCTGGCTTAAGAATCACCAGAGGGGACGAAGATTCACAGAGCGTGCAGCTTCAGCCGGGCTTTACCACTCAGTTTGCATCATGTATAACTCGAAGATGCTCACTGTTGACGTGTGTGTGTGTGTGTGGGGGGGGGGGGCGTCTGGCCTACTTCTGAGTTTCTTAGGAGAGAAGTGCGTCTATTATGTCTCCTCGGGGCTTATTCATTGATTGAAGTCTGAGGACGTGGAAGTACCGTGTGATGTATTTACAGAAAGAGAATTAAAGGCCTTGCAATTCTTGAAGGAATACATACATACAACCTTTCATGTCAAACGATCAGAATAAGATCAGCTTATGAGGCCAAGAAACCGAGTTGGGTAGCATGGTGGCTCAGCTGGTAGCGCTACTGCCTCTCAGTGAGAAGGTTGCTGGATCAAATCCCAGCCAGAGGGGCCTTTCTGCGTAGAGTTTGTATGTTATCTTCGTGCATGTGTGTGCCCACTGAGCAAGGAGACGTCTAAACAACGTCTTTTTAAAGTCGTTTTTGCACATCTAATTTTGGTCCCTTGCAGGTGCAGACTGTGACTCCAGATGACGTCTTTTTCCGACGTCCAATGGACGGTCAATATAGACGTATTTTCTACATCAAAATTTAACTTATTTTATTCACTTCAGATAATAATATATTTAGTAAGTGCTTCGTGTTGTCTTCATTGTATGTTCCCATGCAATGTTTAACACATTCACCCTCAGATGGATGTTGGCATGACTGTGGTTCAATCCCAGGACCTTCGGGTTTAGAGCCGGCTGATCTGCCGCTGCTCCATCTCTGTGCGGCTAACAAAGTTAAGGAAACAGTGTATTTGACCATCTATTGTGCAACAGGAAACTACTGACTACATATACTAGGTTTACAATTAAATCATCACCCCTTAAAGTTCACTAGAAACAGATGGACTAAGTTTTACAAATAAATCACTCCTTAATTTTTTTTTACTTTATCCTCTTTACTGGATTAACAGAAATAGCTTCGAGAGAAAATAGCAACAGTTGGTTTATGAATGAAGCCGTGCAAATTTATAATCATAAAAGAGTAACTGTGCAAAGTTACTCTTTTATGATTATAAATTATGATTGTAAATTTTATGGTTATAAAAATTATGATTCACTAAGGCACACCTGCACGTGTCTTGGATGTCTATACGACCTCCAAGTCCGACGTTCAAATATTCGACTTTATATCGACGTACAAGTGAGGTCATGGTTAGACGTCCAGAGTGGACCTTGTTTGCACGTCGTGGAGACGTCCAGAATTGGTCTAGACCGACGGACTCAATATAAGCGTGATCTGCACATCCATTCGACGTCTAATGTTTAGTGGGTGTATTTCCCACAGATAAATAACATGCATGTTAGGCTGATTGGTAACTCTAAATTGTTCCTGTGTGAGTGAGAGAGTGAATGGTTGTTTGTCTTCTTTGTCTCTATGTGTCCCTGTGATGGACTTGCGACCTGTCCAGGGTGTCCCCCGCCTCTCGCACAGTGACAGCTGGACATGGTAGACATGGAACAGGTAGTTGGAGTGAGGACAGAGGATGCAGAGGATGGAGAGAGATGGAGGAGGATGACTCACTGTGGCGACTCCTGAAGAAGGAAAAGCCGAAAGAAAAAGAAGAAAGAAGGAAAGATAAAAAATAAACTAAAGCATTTGCAAAGTCGTCTAAATCCACCCGACTGAATCTGACACAGTTTGTGATTCTCCTTGTCCGGGTCGTGTTTTGTTCCCTGTTAGCAGACCAAATGTCATTACCCAGAATCCTCTCCTCTTACTGTCAGAGCCTCTGGCCTTCAGCGTCCGAAGGGAGAGTTGGAATTAGAGCTTAAAGACGTGTTTACCCTCTCCGTGACATTCCACTCTGTTAGCGAGCGCAGGGCTCAAGGTGCTGTTCCCCCGAGGAGGGCTGAAGATCTAACGTGTAATCACATGTAAGGAGGCACCAAACCCATCCACTCTTCAGAGAATTCATCCACAGCTGCAAAATAAAGTGTTCAAGGGGGCCTTAGTGTATGGCTCACATGAAATATTGATATAAGCAGACATAAATATAAAACAACTAGATTAAAAGTGCTGCAACTGTGTCTGTGGTATATACTGTAGTAGCAAAGTAGGGGCTCAAAAAATGTGGAAAAGGCACAAAAATGAATTTTTATCACACGTCACTGAAAGGTTAACGCAGAGAAAAAAGGTTTTTAACCTGTGTGTGTTTGTGTATGTGTGTGTGTTCTTGTGTTTGTTCCCAAAATATCTCATAAACAACTGGTTGAAAGTTGATGAAACTTGCAGAACGCAATCACTGGTTGTACATCAACAACTGATTAATATTTGGAGCCAATCCAATTCAAGATGCCTGAAACAGCTGACTTTAGAAAACACAAACAATGCTATCATTCAGTCAGTTGTACAGATGGTGTGGTAACATGGGGTGTGGGTGATATGTAGAGTCATTTGCAACACATGCTACTCATTTCTGGAAATATCTGTGCAACATTTTGGCAGTAAGTGGGGGCGTCAACCCACTTTTGGCTATTAGCAAAATGTCTCGTGAAATACTAAACACATTTTAGTGAAACTTACAGGATGTTATCACTGGGTGTACATCTACAACTGATTGACATTTGGAGTCAATCCGATTTAAGATGGCTGCCACAGCTAATCAACATTACCTAACACAAATTTTGTATAGAAAGCTGGAATTCTCTCCCAATAATACAAAAAAGTTTTATTGTCTCATATTGCGAAGAGAAAAGGGGCAAATCGGAAATGGGATGCAAGATGACCATCGCCATATATATATACACACATAAATGTAAACTTTGTGAGCTGGATAACATTCAAAATAAGTAACAGGCCATCTGACTTTTTGGTTTGTGGCTGCATCTAGATGTAAAAAAGGTTCCTATCAAAAACTTTTTAAATTGCTGGTGGAATTTCCTTTGAATCCCAGCCCGGGTTTTTTTATTTTGCATACGTGGGTTTTCTCCGGACACTTCAGTTTCCTCCCACTGACCAAAAACATGCATGTTAGACTGATTGATAACTAAACTTTCCCTATGTGTGAGTGAGAGAGTGAATGTTTGTCTCGTTTGTCTTTATGTGTCCCTTTGATGGACTGGAGACCTGTCCATGGTGCCCCCTGCCTCTTGTACAGTGACTGCTGGGTATGGGCACCAGTGACCCCCTTGACCCAGAATGGAAGAAGCAGGTAAAGATAATGGATGGATGGATGGATGGATGGATGGATGGATGGATGGATGGATAGATGGATGATGGATGGATGGATGGATGGATGGATGGAAAAAGATTTGTGAGAAAGTCTTTACAGCTGCAAGAATACATTGAACATTTTCAACTGTACTAGCACATTCGAATGTCCTAAAGCACTCATTATTTACCAGCTTGGCTCAGAGATGGATGGAGCTGACGCCCGTTTCCTGTTGTCACTCAGCAAAAGGCAAGGTTCATCCTGAACAGATCACCAGTCCCTCCCTGGGCCACATAAAGACAAATAACCATTCGTTCTCACAGTCACGCTTAGAGCAGCCTGGAGCTGCCAATAAACCTAACATTCATGTTTTTGGACAGAGAGAGAAAACTCAGGAGCTTTTCACTGGGAGGCAGCAGGGCTAACACCTGATACAGCATCTGTGAAAACATGTCAGGAATAAAAATCCAGATTTTTGTGAGAATTTTTTTTAATTGGGTTCAAATTAAAAGTCCAGCATTCCTCAAAGGAATGTACATTGCTGCTGCCTTCCATGCCAGAGTTTTAGACTAAGATCCTCTTGTGTTGAGAAATGACTGAGTTGCAACCAGTTTTTTGTTGTTGACTCCAAATGTTGATCGGTTATAGATGTACATCCAATAACTTTTTTTTATTATTTATTCTATCCAGTGGTTCAAATTAGGGTTTAATGGGGTTAATGCTGAAATTATGAACAGAGGTTGAGCACAATGAGTAGCATTTGAAGTTAGTGTTGTGAATGAGTCTCCAAATTTTAGCACAATATCTGTAAAACTAATAGAACTGTAACAATGTTTGTGTGTTTTGAGTTCAGCTGGCTGTGACAGCCAGGCTTCAAATGGTCATCTGTTGTAAATATACATCTACTGGTTATTTCCTAAACAATATATAAGAATCTGTTCAGCAGCTCATAAGATATTTTGCTAACAGACAGACACAAGAGCACAACCAGACTGGCATGAGCAAAAAATAAATAAATAAATAAAAGATCACCCATTTGACTTTTGGTGGCAGCCGATGATCACGTTGTTTTCAGTTTGAAGACACTGCACCATGGTTCAAACAAAATACTCCAGACGTTTTTGTATATTTACATCTTTCTCATTTAGGTTCAACAGAACGTCAGCTTTGCGTTTTTACAGCGACATTGGTGTGTTTGTGGCATCGTACACATGTTCAGCTCAACAATGTGTGCCTTCTCTCCGCACAAAGTGATGTAAACATGATGGCAGAAGAAACAGACGCAGTCACGGAGAGCAAGGCACAGACATCACATTTGGTTCTGTTTTGCATCACAGACCCAATCAGATAACCACATTTAGCAAGCCTAAATAATTTATAGGTTTAATGAGACCTGCTGCAGGCTTCCCACTGATAGTTGTGACTCCTGCGGGTGATATGCACCATCTCAAACGCATTATCTTGGCAGAGAGACTCACTTTTAAGTAGTGTGTAATCGCTGCAAAAACACTAAAAACATAATGTAACGTGATCAAATATGAGTCATATAAATGCTGTAATGAAATATAAAAATGGCAAACGTATCAGGAGCCCAGAGTAAATGACTGATGCATGAAATAAATGCATTTATCTGTTTGAATAAAATGACTTAATGAAAATTTTTAATAGACGCTAATAAATTACCTATAGTCTTTTTGTGTTTTAATTTTAAACGTGAATGGCCTTGATTTCCTAACATCTCATTTCTGCAGCAGTGTCTGATTCATAAGGATTTAAAACATACACCTGATGAAGTAAACACATTCATCCCTCTTCTCCTCACATCACGACTCCGATCCAATCCCGGCTCAGACAGCAAGAATCAAGTGCAAAAGTGACCTTGGTATTGACGTAAAGGTTTAGACTCTGCTCCTGATGCACTAAGATGGCAGCGTGCATTTTGATTCGTCAGTGAAGAAGAACATTGTGAGGGATTTTTTTTTGTTGTTGTTGTTTTTGGTTTTGATAACTCAGTTCCAGAAAATGCTCTTAATATACAATTTGACTTTGTCTAAAGTCTAACTATGGTGTCATCATCAGTTCAAAGCCTGTGGGGGAGTTGAGTGGTGCAGTTATGTCTAAACTCGGACGTATACATAAATCCTTTAAAAGCCTCTCCTCATGAAATTAGCTTCTAAATATTAAAAAAACTGCATTTTTGTGAGAATTTAGTGTGAACCTTGAGCGCTGAATGACTGCTGAAACGTGTTTACCAAGCTGAAACTGACTCGGTGAACATAAAAGAAATAAAGTACTGACCAAAAACTTAAAGGAGCAAAAGATTTGTTATGAAATAAAATGGCAAAAAGTTGGCTAAAGATTTAAAGTAACAAATGGAATGTTAGAAGCATCAAAAAGCTAATTATTAAAAGTAGCACATTGCTAACTAAAGCATAAAAGCAAAGAAATGGCTAGAAGATAAAAATAACAAATGGCTTGTTATGGCTTCAAAAGGCCAACTACAAGCTAAAGCAGTAAAACACTAGCTAAAAGCCAAAATGAGCAAAACGCTGGATAAAAACTATGTAAAAATGCTAGTTCAAAACGAAAAGTAGCAAAATGTTGGCTAAAATCTAAAGTAGTTAAATGCCAGTGGAGAATAACAAAATACTACTTACAAGTAGTAAAATCTAGGCAAAATGTAAATGTATCAAATGCTAGCTGAAGGCAAAAAGTTTTACAAGGAAAGCTAAAAGCTAAAATAGCAAAAGACTAGCTCAAAAGTAAATTTAGCATAATAATATAAAAATAGAGCAAGTCTGCTCAAGCATATTTTAAATAGAGCTTTTTTTTAAAAAACGCATTTAAATTAACTCAGTTTATATGATGACAAATTCCAGTCGTATATATTTTGTGTTTGTAAGACTGTGTAGTTGTGAATTACTTTTTGTAACTTTGTAAAATAAAATGGCTGAGAATTTCTGCTTTGAGCATGTGTAGGTACATGGGTGTAGAAATGTTTGAATTTGTTAAAAATAATTATCCAAGATACATGCATAATTATATATACAACTGGAATTTGTGCCCATAAATGTATCTCTAGGAAAATATTTGTAATTCAAAGAGTTTGAAAACTCTAAATATTACAAAAAACCAAAAGGCATCTTTTGAATGAGCTGAGAATTTTAATATATGAATCGTTAAAGTTAATAGTGTGTAAAAACATACAGTACAGACAAATAAAATTAGAAAAACAATAACAGAAACACTAAATCATCATTCACATAATAATACAATTAACTATGACAATACTTCTACCAGTCCATAAGTCTGCTTTAACAGTAGTATATTAAAATTGTTCCTTTTGAGCCCACTGTTCCAGACACCGAGCAACTTCACCTGTTTTATCTCTTCTCTGTGTTTTTTCTTTGCAGAAGTCATCCGGTGGTCTGTCAATCCCTCTTTGTGCCTTTCAGGGCACTGTCTCTCTGCAAGCACCCACAGGCAAAACGCTCTCTCTTTCTACTTATGAGGTCAGCAGCGACGGACTCAAAATCTCCCCCAATAATGCCAAGAAGGTGATGACCTTTGCTCTGATCTCTTCTTCTTAACCTCTTTTTATCAGAACAGGCATCATATCTTATTTCATCACAATTCATTGAATAAACAGTTTGACATTTGGAATATGTGTATAAATATATTATGAGCTTAGGGAGCATCTTTCACTCTTCCATCTTAAATATACTTTATGCCAGAGATAGTCGAGCTAACTTGCAACGTTTTTGAATTGGAAATATATATATGACATCTTCAACCACAACATTAACTTAAAACTTACCTTTTACCCACTTAAAATAAAGTTTTTGAAATGGAAATCTATGGAATGATTAGAAACAATCTTACCTGTTGTAGATAGTTTTTACCAACTGGACGGATGAGCTAATGGCTTGCCTGAGCAAAGCAAAACCCCAATTGGATTGCTGTCATTTTAAAAATAGTCAATCTCAAAATGTTTTGGAAACTTTTACACAGCCATCAGCTTTATAAGAGATAATAGTTATTCATAACTTTCCAGTGAACCCCTTCAAACGATCTGAACTCCTCCTTTCTGATCTGAGCAACCAATATGATGAAATTTGACGAAGTACGTTTAAGTAACGAAAACTTGGATTCAACGTGTCACATGTTTTGAAATAAATGACTTTATTTTACAGGTGGAAGTGTATCGCTCCAAGTCGGTTGGTCATGAACCCAGTGCAGATGATGCAGCATCTGGAGGCCGACGCCAAGCTGGAGACACGAGCACCAGCTGTGTTGGGATGGGCATGGAGATCGGCGTGGGGATGGGAATCGGAGCCGGGGTAGGGGACACCAACGTAAAGATTCACCTGGAGGTCCTGGAAATCTGCGATAACGAGGAAGCCATGGACAGCGTCTCGATCATCTCAAACATCAGCCAGTCTTCTACCCACGCCCGCTCGCCGTCGCTGCGTTACTCGCGCCGGGAGAACCGCTTCGTCTCGTGCGACCTGGGCGAGACCGCATCCTACTCTCTGCTCATCCCCAGCAGCGGCAACACCGAGGCAGAGACCATCAATATCACTATTCCTGACACCGTGGAAGCCCACCGGCAGAACAGCCGACGACAGACGCAGGAGAGCTCAGGGTATCACGAGGATATACAGCTGCTAAATGAGGCTTACAGAAAGCAGGCGGGAGAGGAGGAAGAGTGACATATATTCACCAAAACAAGACGTGTACTGGGTGGGAGGGGGCGTTGAACTCAGGCAGATACGTCTGCAAGTCAAAAATCCCAATCATTCCACTTTTTTATTCATCACATTTTAAAAACGCAGAGGATTTTGCAAAGAGTCTGAACATGTATAATAGTGTTTGCCTCCTCTTGTTCTTCCTCTTCAGGTAATAATGATGAAAGCACACGCATCACTTCTCTGTACATTAGAGAAAAGGGCCAAAAGCTGGAAAAGGGCATCAGTGCATTAGTATTCCAGTCAATGCCTTTGACATATGGCAGCCTGTCACCGTGAGACAGATGCAGCAGGAGAAAAATTCACTTAGATGTCGAGGGGGAGGAGCAGCGCTCCGATCACGGGTCTGATTTGAAACGGCTCACGTGGACTACGTCACCGGTGACTCAGGCTGCAAGAGGAGGGGGCACCGGACCCATGTGTCTGACTCATTCATGCGTGTGTTGTGCATCAGGATGAGAGGATCTGGTGTGAGGCCAGACACACACGCACCCCCCCCCCCCCACACACACACACACACACACACACATCATAAGTATTTATGTTCCCTTGAGGTGAATGTGTTCATTTTACCGTAACTTGCAGTTTCCTTTAACCTCAACTGCTCTATCAAAACTTTCTGCACCAGTTAGGTTTCTACTATTTATTATTTAAAGGGACAGGTTGGATCTTTTTAAGTGAGGTTTTGTGAAAAGAACAAGAACAGTTATTATCTTACCTGGTGTAGATAGCTCTTTGAGCAGCCTCAGTTTGAAGGAATAGAGTTTAAGTAGCATCCGCCACTGAATAGCAAAAGTCAGGCAATAATGTTTTTGCCTGTGTCTTTCTGTGTGTGTGTGTGGGGGGGGGGGGGTTGTTTGTTACCAAGATATTGCATGAACCACTGGACAAATTTGAAAGTGGATGCACACATCTATGGTTGATTAACTTTTTGAGTCAACCTTAAAATGGCTACCACAGCACAATGACCTTAAAAACCACACACATGACTGTAACTCGCTCAGTTTTACTGACGCTGAGCTAAAATCTGGTGCAGTAGTAGTTGAGTCTATTCCCCAACACATATTGTGGGCACTAACAGGTTGTGCAACATATCTGATTATAATTAGACCAATAACTTTTGGAGTCATCTTCAGGTCTCTCTTGTAAATGAGTCCCCGAGGCTCAGTGGGATTAACTTGTATAAATAAATGTTGAATTATTTCCATTTTTGCCATGAACTTAGCAGCTATTTAAAATCCCTCAGAGAGGTCAAGGTCGAGAGCTTCAGATCTTTTTGCAAGGTGTTCCAGGAAACAGGAGTGGAGTAAGAGAAGGCCCTGTTGCCTACTTCAGTCCACACTGAGGGGATACTGCAGATAATGATGTCTTGAGAGCGCACGCTGTAGCTGCACTGATGACTTGACATGTAGGAGGAGATGTATGAAGGCAACAGACCAAGAAGTGCTCCAAAGATGAAAATGTACCAGTGAGAGAGTCTACGTGAAGTTAATGATAACCAATTGACCAGTGAATACTGTGTGCAATGATGAGTACGGTAGTTACAGCCAGTTATGAATCCTAGCGCACCATGACAGACAGCGTCCAACATCTGCAGGGTTCTTGCAGGAGCATTCATGTAAATAATGTTACCGTGGTCGATGGACGGAAGGAATGTAGCAGCTACAAGGCATTTCCTTGCATTTAGAGTTAGACCAGATCTATTTCAGAGAAATAAACTTGTAGGGTACTTGTCGGGTCAAGGGAAGTGAAACAGTACAGTTAGGCAAAACAATAAAATACAGTAGTCAATAACATTGCTGCATGGGACTGCCCAAAACATCATTTTAAAAGTTTGACCAAAATGTCTGCAACTCTATTAGTCAACGTAAGATGATTTAAGTGTACATATGTGGAATGAAAGGTGGCGGGTGATATGCATTCCCTTAAGCAATGCTAAGCTGTTTATTTCTAACTGTAGTGACAAGCAAATGGCTAGCTATAGTGAGGCTAAAACAATAAAAAGATTGTTGATGTATTAAAACAGCTACAATCTCGTAAGTGTTACAGCAGTTCATTCAAACACAAATTTTAAACCTTTCCACTGCTGTCAGTCATTTGCAAGTACAAATAGCAGCAGCGATAGCAGCAAGCTGTAGCATTTTCAGTGCAGTCTAGAGCACTTTAAGCAAAAATGTCATATTTTATGCCAAAATAACCATATAAAGTGAAATTGATGTCACTGTAAATGATTCTAAATTAGTGTTTGCATGAATGGCTGTAAAAAGTGTGAAATTTGAGTTATGTTAGGACAGCAGTAATCTATTTGGGTTTTAGTTTGCTCTCACTAGCAGTTATCTTTTCACTCTGATTGCACTCAGTTTCTTCCGAGACGATTCAAAGAGCAATCTCCAGCAGGTGAGATAATGATTGTTCATAACTTTTCCCCAGAACTCGCACGTCAAAAGATTTCAACAGCTGCTTTGGAGAGATTTGTATGCTGAACACTTTTCTGCCTTTTTTACACTCACTATAGTTGAGCTGAGCGGCTGCATATTTTACTTCATCAGGCAGCATGCAAACATTTTAGAGCCATTTTGTGGGATCATTTCTCTGTCCACTCAGTTTACTTCCCATCCGATCATTGAGCCCCTGGGACTTTTCCATAGCTGCAACAATTATGCACTCAGAAAAAAAGTCCTCTGTCAGTAGTGTGCATTCATCACAGTTTTGAGTCACTTCACAAACTGTAAAATTAAGAAGTATTTATCATTTTTAGTATAAACATTATTAGTTTAATGCACATTTCTATGTATTTATGTGTGTAAACAACAGAAACACTGATGTAGAGTAACATAAAAAATATATGTGTATTTATTTCTATGCTGTTTCCAGTATTTATTTATTTATTTTTAGCTCAGTTCATTGCCATGTCTTCACTGAGTGGACTTCAGTTGCACACTTTTGAATCACTGCCTCCGCTGCAGCAGCCCCCATTCTCCTGAAGACTGTCTGTTATTAAAGATTCATGCCAGGAAATTGCCTCTATTAGTTTTGAAATGTATTCCTATTTCAAGAGTTCGTTGGGCAAAATGTGTAAGAAAATAATGTAGAAGCTAAAGGGAATATTGATGAATGTAAGTGCTGCATTCACTGTCGATCGTTTCAGCTGTTCACTGTGCCACAAGTTGCCAGAGCTATAGTGCGTCTCCTCTGCAGCGGTTAAATATTCTTACCATTTGTGTATTCTCGGTGTTATACAATTTATTTTGTCATCATGTATCCCTACAGAGCACATGATTAATAAACTGTTAATTGTTTAGGTTTTTTTTTTTTTTTTTTTTTTTTTGCAGTTATTAGCTTGTGTTTGCTTTTTTAACACCAATTTGTCATTTTTCTGAATATATTTGATGACATAAAAACTTCTGAAATAGATTCCTTTATCAGGTAGCAAAGAAAATGGAGACCTATTCAGGTGGGCTTTATATTCGTTGTATTTTTATTTGTTTGCATATTTCTGTGTACAGCAGATAAATGAAAAATTCAAGTTTTTGGATAGGAGGGAAAAACTAGAAACTATATAACCAGAAGCAAAATGCAACTGATGACAAAAACATAACTAAAGCTGTCAAGTGATGTGAATATCTGACTGTGTTTTGTATTTTATTCTGATTCAAAAACTTATATTGATATGATGAAACAAAACAAGCCTCAATCATGTACTATAATGAATAAGTGTGTTTCAGCGGAATTCAAATCCACTTGCATAAATTCACTTTAAAGCCGAATGTGCTCAGTTTAATGACGTATGCAGTGGTTTGAATCTACTGCCTGTCTCAAATACCTCAATATTTTAATAGGATATGGACTGGGATTTTACTTGACTATACCGTTCCTCATATTGAGTTATAGTGAAATTATCAGTGCAAGGTTAATGACCCGTTGTTGAAACATCAACTTCCTGTTTAGCTTAAACAAATACCCTTACAATATCTGCAAGAATGCTACGATGTGGTGCAAAAAGTTTAACTGAACCAGTAAAACCAAAGTATTAATTGGAAATAAAGCAAGCCCAAACCACTGTGCTTACACCCCCCCTGCTTTACAGCTTGAGGCTCCAGAGCTGACTGATGTTTACTGTCATATTGATTTGACTGCTTAGTCTTTATTTGTCCCAAATATGGGAAAAAGTTAGATGAGGAATAAATGTGATCAAATAGAATTAACTCATAATAAACTTTTAAATTGCATAAATCAAGTGCTACCAATACATAAAATCCTAATACAGATCTTTAAATTTACATCTTCAGTTGGCGTTACTGATCAGGTAAGGCAAAGTTTGTGTTGAAAGGTTTAATTTAAGTAATTTATCCTGACCAAATATTGAAAAAAGGATATAATTTGTGTGGAATGTTCATTTGTTCTTTTGGAAAATAATAGATATTACTCAGGCTATTTGACAATAATTTCACGGACTTAAAAGGTTTTTAAACAGAGGCATAAATACTTTTTTTTCCCCATCTTAAGCTGCTATTTGTTTTTTGTCTGTTATTTTTACTGTCATGATTGAACACATTTCACAGATTTGAACCTTTTTAAAAGCAAGGTCACATACAAATTTACTGCGATATTACTGGTGAAAATTAAGTCCTCAACAACGAAAATAAATAAATAAATAAGGCTCATAATTCCTACAATGAATGCAGTTTCATCCAAGGCCATACAATCTTCTGCCAGTGTATATATGTAAATTTTACAACACAGTTTATAAAGATTCTCCATAATTTTATCCTTAAATGCAACTTTAATGTGGTTATGAGAAGTGTTTGAATAGAATAGCTTTATTAAATTAGAAAAGAGGTGGCGCATCAACATGGAGCTCAGGGTGGAATCCCAGGATGGGAGTTTTATGACCAAAATCTCTTTTCACACATTTTGTAAGAATGTCCAATTTATGTGAACTAACCACTCCTTGCAGCCTCTTG